TTTTTTTAAAACCTATTATTATAATATTTCGAAACTGAGGACATGGGTCATTCAAAAGTTGTTATGGTAATTTTACTATAGGTGTTATTTTTTGGATTCTTTTAATGCGTGTAGTATTATTTAAAAGAAATTTAGGTTAAATTATTCAATTTAACCTTTTAATTACAAATTCAAAATTAAAAAAAAATTTTAAAATATTTTCATTGTTTAGTTTTAATAGACTATATTACTTTATAACAGAAGGAAAATTACTATATTAAGTTTATTTTTCCATATCAAAACTTTTTTTTTTTTCCTTTAAATTTAAACATTATTTAAGTAATTTAATGGCACTTACTATAGTAAGTCATTTCTCAGATTTAGTAAACTTTATTTATTTATTAATTAATTAATTTATTTATTTCAAATATATGTAACCTTATTTTTTCATATGTATGTAAAATAACATGTTAAATTACTACAATTTTAATTTCAATTTTAAAATTATAACTTTAAAATTTTAAAATATTTTCATTTTAGTTTTAATAGACTATATTATAACAGAAGATATTAGTACCAAAAATTATTTTAAACTTTTAATTTAGATATTAAATTTCTCAATACTTTTTCTAATTTCTCAGAATTATAAACTTTATGTATTAATTCAAGTTTAAGTAAATTTTTTTATTTTTTTTTTATATATATATAAACTAATTTATTTCTCATGTAAGTTTTCAAAAGCTTACATTTATGGCAAATATTTTATTTTACTATATTTGCTTTTTGGGATTCTTTTTTTGTAGTATTATTTAAAAGAAATTTAAGAATTCATTCAATTTAACTTTATTTTAGTTTCAATTTTAAAATTACAAACTTTAAACTTTTGTATTTTCATTGTTAGTTATATTAGACTATATTACTTTATAACAGAAGAATATTACTCATAGTAAGTTTATTTTTCAATATCATTTTTATTTTTAAACTTTATATTTTAAAATATTATTTTAGTAATATTAATCAACTTTTTAAAGTCATTTCTCCAGATTTAGTAAACTTTATTTATTACCTAATTTATTTATTTATTTTAAATATATGTAACCTAAGTTAAAATTTTGTAAAAACAGGTTATTTTTTATTTAACATTTTAATTACAATTTTAAAATTACCACATTAAAATTTTAAAATATTTTCATTGTTAGTTTTAATTGACTATATTACTTTATAATTAATTACTCATAGTAAGTATAATTATTTTCCATAACAAAGTATATGTAAATTACAATTTTTAAACTATTATATTTAAATATTTAAGTAATATAAATGGCACAGACTACAAAACTATCTAAGTCATTTCTCAGATTTAGTAAACTTTATGTATTAATTAATTAAATTATTTATTTTAAATATATGTAACCTGAGTAATAAAGTTTCATATGTATGTACAAAGAACAATGGGTCATACATTACCTTACATCATCTAGCTTTAGTTATAATTTCATTTTTCAGGAGGTGTTTTATCGGATTCATTCAAGTGTTTGTAGTACATTTATTATAGAGGTGTTTCGGTTAGGATACATTTTATTTATATATATATATATATGACATGAGATACCGATAAGATTTGTTCGGTAAAAATCGTTTTGTATAATTAATTGCAAAAATAATATGACTACGGCATGTATCGAATGAGATAATATACAAATGAAAAGTTCTTGATAACAAACAAGTATTATAAAATAAATGACAAAAAACTAGAAGAGGTTCAGAAGAAAATGAAAAACAACGCAATAATTATCGGCAATAAAGCTTAATCAATATGAGGCAATACTTATTAGAAGGACACGTCGACACCGTTTAATTGTTATCAAGCTTGTCTCGCTAGATCAGTTATGAGTTCGATACTCACTAAGGGCTCCATACTTTCGGCCTTGTTCCACATTAGTCTACGCTTAGGAAATTGCTGTACCTAACAGTGTCTATCATCAAGTCCATGGCTACCATATACGGACGTTGGTACATAAGACTACTTTTTATCTGTATAGTCTTCTTTCGAAAACTGTAATTGGTTTGCTTTTAAGCAATCAATGGTTCCAAACAAAAGACAGAGACAAAGAAACTATCGTGAAAACACGAAACATTATATTTTTTACATTTTGCAATGACAAATATTTTGTTATCTAAGGGAAATCTAAAAAAAAAATTTGAACTGTTTAAACTTTTTCAAGTTATGCAAATTTAGTTGATTACGAAATAGATGCAAATCCTTGAATTGGAATTCCTTTTAATCATATTAAAAGCCAGAAATAATACAAAATAAATTCGATTATTTCGAAATCGTTAATAATTAAATCTGTTTCTCATAAATGAAGTGAGCGATTAAAAAGCTGTTAATATTCTTTGCTTTTGTTTATATGATGTTTTAATAAATGAAAAGGAAAATGATCAATCTTTAGAAGATATTTGCAAATATCGGGAGAGAAATAGTGATTGAAAAAACATACACACACAGGTGTGTATATATATACAGCAGATAGATAAACAGAGATATATAGAGTGGTAGATAGATACGTCAACAAAGTCGACCAATTGAGATTCGTGTCCTATTGGATACACGATGCTTTTATTTGAAAACACATCTACAAAAATTAAGAATACATTTTGTTCATATGAAAAAGAAATATTTGAATCTCGTGCTTATCAATATCAATGTGCAAGCTACAGAACTGTATCTTGAGAAAATTTATGTTGTAAAAGACGAACTGTCTGTCACTCTGTTAACATGAGACTATACAACTTCTATGTACTGCATCCCCACAATTACCTATCCTTTGTAGCTCTTAATAAATTATATGTTTTTGTTATCTTTCTCAAACCTTATCTCACCATCCATTTAATCAAGAGCGCTAGGTGGGTTATGTTCTTCTTGCCTTTAATCTTTCCTGTGAGTATCGAATTTTCCAAGAGCTCTTTCCTCATTCCTCTAGAAACATCAACTGTCTTTTCCTATTGTTAAGCATATGTGTTCTTTTGTTTCTCTATGACTTCACCGTTGCTTACATGTACCGTCCAAGTTATTCTCATTATCCTTCTGTAGAACCATATTTCCATTGCTTCAAGTCTCTTTTTCATCTGTCATATATGCGATCTGATTTTGCATAAACCTTCAATGCTCTTTTCTTTGTTTCTAACGATTTTTTTTTCTGTTTCTTAATACCTTGTTTAGCTTTTAGAATGCATCTTTCGTTATCCCAAGGCGTTTTTGCATTTCAGTGTTACACTTTCCGTCCTCTGTTAAAACACTTCACAGATATTTAAATTTCTGTACTCGTTTGATTTTGGTATTTCCAATTTCAATGCTAGTCTGTCGGTTTCACGTAATGTATAGATTTTTATATGCCTATGTTATGCGTTAGTAACTAACATAGATTTGTATCATTTTATGTGTACGGATAGACACACAATTTGGCTGAGTGTGATATAAAACGTTCGAATTACATATTCGCCTCCCACTCAATAATGACATAAAATTGATGAAAACAAACAGAAACATTTTTTTCAACCACGAAAACAAATTTTTTCTTCTTTTTTTTTATCTTCTTCAGTAATAAATAAAATTAGTATTTTTTTTAATTTTCTTACAAATATTTTAGGTCTATCATTGAATTAAAATATGCATGTCTGAAATATACGTGAATGAAACTGAAATAGACATCTGTTCCCCGAAGGTTAATTTTCAAATCTTTTAGGCAACAACAGTAAAAGATTGTTGCGGGCCCGGTAGGGTGCAGTGCTGGTTTATTACTAAGTGGCCTTGTGCCAGACACCACACTAAACTACCGAGTCTACAAGCAAAGTAAAAAGATAAAAATGTGCGTGAATGAACAACGAAGAAATGTGGTTAATCCACACGTGCATAAAATAAAATATATTAAGATAGCCGACACAGAATGACAGAACAAGACTGGATTCCAACAAGAGTAATTTTTATTAAATGCAGGAAAACAAGTAAATTGTCCCGTAGTAGGGGTCAATGAAAAAAGTTCCGCGCCAAAAGTAGAAGCAAGATGGCTAAAGGCGGGAAGGTTCTTGAAGAAGAAGGAGATACCAGATAAGTCAATGTACAAGATAATATTCATACAAGGAAAAATACTCACTGCGAGTTTTTTAGGTAATGTGAGTGAATGTTATTGTTATGTACATATTTTTTTTTTTTTTTTTTTGTACTGGTTCAAAACAGATTTCTGACGAGACCCAAATGGACGACGGATTGTTATTTTGTATGTTCTGCATCGTCTCGGAGTAGAACTTTGAATGACGAGTCTCAAAGGGCCGAGGAATTAATATTTTGGATGTTTTGCATCATCTCGGAGGAGGACTTTGAATGACGAGCCAAAAGGGACGAAGGATTAATCATTTGGTATATGCATCGTCTTATAAAAGGGTTTTGAATGACGATCCAAAAGGGACGCAGAATTAATATTTGGTGTTGGCATCGTAAGATATCCTTCGTCAGTCAACCTTGCATATTGACATGGCTAAAAATGAGTCTGCTTAGGTCCGAATCTGGATCACAACTGAACTTTTCTGAAACAACAGTTTGTCGTTGACGTCACAAATTTTTCGCGGGAAGATTTCAAAAATCTAATTTGCATAACAGGTCGCTTGGTTGGTGACCAAAAATGTTACTACTGTATTAGACCGAACGAGGGAGAAATCATGTCAAACGCGCGCGCGCGCCCGCGAGTGTGAAAGAAAGGAGGAAACTCGCGCGCGCGTAAAATGTCGTAGATGGAATAATACATTATTCCACACAGCCCTCCTCCTGGATCAAATGTCGCAGACATTTGACTAATAATAGTAGAATGTTTCAAATTTCTTTGGAAAGGTGACTTTTCGACCGGAGCTGGTATACTTAGGTTTGTCGAGAGAGACAGGTGTCTTGAAATTCTCCTGAACTTGCGGAGTTGATTGGGAAGTAGTATGAGACGACGGTTTCTCTATAAAGGCAGGTTTCAACCGATCTATTGAAACGTTGTCGGTGTGAATACCTTTCTGTATTTGGAAATATTTGTCCGCGCGTTTAAGAACGCGGTATGGGCCTGTGTAGGCCGGCGTAAAGCCCGCTTAACAGAGTCATTACGTACAAATACAAATTCGCAGTCCTTGAGCTGGTGCGGTAGATAGATATCACTCGGGCAGTGCCGCGGTGGTGTATAGCATAAGTTTGCCATTTTAAGGCGTAAGTCCTGAATAAAAGAGGAAGAAACTGGTGGTGTGGTCACAGCTGGTGAAAAATATTGGCCAGGTAAAGATAACGAAGTACCAAATACAAGCTCTGCAGGGGAGCATTTCAAGTCATCCTTAAGAATATTTCTTAACGATAAAAGGATGAGGGTAATTCATCGACCCAATTATTATTCTCATGCTTCGTTGATAGCGAAGCCTTAAAGGGTGCGATGGAATCGTTCCACCAGCCCATTCGCACAGGGGTGATACGCTGTAGTACGTATATGCTTTGCATGAAGGAGTTCAGTGAATTCCCGAAAAGACACGACTGGAACTGTGCTCCTCTATCTGTAGTAACCACTTTAGGAGTCCCAAAATCGAAATCCAGTCGCATAAAATAGCTTTTGCGACAGTCACAGCAGTGGTATCTTTGACAGGGATGGCAGTAGGCCATCGGGAAAAACGATCCACTATAGTTAGAAGGTAGGAATAACCATGGCAGGTTGGTAGGGGCCCAACTAAATCCAGGTGTATATTAGTAAAACGAGCATCAGGCTCGCTGAAGGTGCCCACAGGAGATTTTGTGTGTCTATGCACCTTACACTTCTGGCATTGTAAACATGTATTGACCCATTCGCGAATGTGAACGTTCATATTCGGCCAAACGAAACGGTCCGAAATTAACTTAACTGTGGCTCTTTTGCTGGGGTGTGAGAGTCCGTGTAGGTGGTCAAAAACCTGTCTACGAAGAGACGGAGGAACATAAGGTCTTGGGGATTTGGATTTAACATCACAGTATAGGACCTTGTTACTAAATTTGGTATGCTGGACATTTCTGAAGTTCCAAAGAAGTGTCGGATAACACCTGCTTCAGAGTTATGTCCGCTTTCTGTTCGTCGGCGATCAAGTCTTGACTGAGTGCATCAGTATGCACGACGAACATCTCAGTACGAGATAGGGTATCGGCAACAGTGTTATCCGAACCCTTAATGTACCTAATATCAGTAGTAAATTGAGATATATAGTCCAGGTATCTGATTTCCCTCGAAGTGTATTTGTCCGAATTGGTGGACATAATGGACGTTAAAGGTTTGTGGTCCGTAAAGATAACGAAGGACCTACCTTCGAGGAGGTGTCTGAAATGAATGGCACGAAATATAGCCAACAGTTCACGAGAAAAGGTACTGTAGCGTGACTGGGCAGGAGAAAGTTTAGCGGAAAAGAACGCTATAGGTTTACGTTGAGAAGGACTGACTTGTTCAATGACCGCGCCTATTGCTGTTTCGCTAGCGTCAGTGGTTAGGTAGATATCCGATTGAGGGTCGTCCTCTAAGAAACTGAGCTTAGAAAAATTGCCTAGAGCGGTTTTAGCTGCTCGAAAGGCGTCCAAGGCTTCACTCTCAAGTATAATAGTCTTATTCTTCTTCTGTAATAAGTTGGTAAGGGAGTCAGAATGTTAGAACAGTTTGGAATAAACCTCCTGTGAAGTTGATCATCCCAATAAAGCGTCTCAACTGTTTAATAGAAACAGGGACGGGAAACTCAGTGATAGCTTTAATCTTTTCAGTTATAGGGGCAATTCCATTTGCATCGACGTGATGTCCTAAAAATTCTATATGGTCTGATCCGAAGACACATTTGTCCAGGTTTAGACGAAATCCGTAATGGGACAAACGTTGAAGAACTTCGTTTGGTAGGTGTTGCTTATGCGAGGCAGCGTCCTCGCTAGCTATCAGAATGTCGTCAATGTAATCGAAAACAAAAAGGGAGTCCACTTTGAGAACCTCGTCCATAAGACGTTGGAATGTCTGTGCTGCGTTGCAAAGGCCGAAAGGCATTTTCAAAAACTCAAATAAACCGAAAGGTGTAGTAACAGCAGTTTTTGGGACATCAGCAGCAGCTACTGGCACCTGATAATATGCTTTAGCGAGATCTATTTTGGTAAAAATCTTTGTTCCTTGTAAACCAGAAGTGAAATCGTGGAGGTGGGGGATTGGATAACGATCCCGGACGGTGATGGAATTCAATCTTCTATAATCCACACAAATTCTATAGTCCTCCTTTCCTGGTTTAGGTACCAAATGAAGAGGGGAAGCGTAGGGACTGTCGGACGGACGAATAACACCCTCTCGTAGCATGTCGTCGAAAGCTTTCTTTGCGAATTTTAATTTGTTAGGTGCTAGACGACGAGGACGGGAAAAAACAGGTTGACCAGTGGTCTTAATAAAGTGCTGTGTTTGATGTTTAGTTGAATCAATAGATCCAGTAGGACGCAGGAGGTCCTGGTACTGATTCAATAAGTCTAAGTACTCTTTACTGTGGCACGTTGCCACGGTGATGCCAGTGGTGGTAAGTTTAGAATAAGTGCCAAGAACACACAGTCTTGTTAAGTTGTCAGTCAGGGAATGGTCGTTCATTCGCACGGCGAGATCATAGTGCGCCAGGAAATCGGCACCTAATATCGGCATCTGGACGTCAGCAACAGTAAAATTCAAGTAAAGTCTCGTCGCATCCCTATGTTTAGGTAAGGGACTTCGTACCGTAAGGATTAATACTGGAACCATTTGCTGCTTGTAGGCGGAGCTGGAAGGTTGTTTACGTGCTTTTCTCACGCACGGGTAAGACACTAATGGCAGCGCCGGTGTCAACCAAAAACGTAAATTATTACGTGTATCCGTCACATAGAAGAGGCGACTAAGTTTTGGTGAAAATGCCTTGCCAGCGATTAGTCGCTTTCACTCGCTGGCGGTTTTGTTTTCCGCGACCGCAGTATAAATGACGAGGCTTGACGCAGTAATGAGCTTTAGACCCATATCGTCGGTGGTAGTAACACATAGTAGGAGGGCATCCTTGTTCCGACTTGACGAGCGTGGTCGACTTCTGAAGCGCCGGCGGGAAGGGAACCGGCTTCGACCCTGGCTTTTTAGAGCTAATGTTAAATCTTTAACATTGGCGCTGCAAATCCTCGACTGTTTTTTCCAAGGAGCTGTGGTCCCTAGTCGCTTCAGCACTGTGTACTGGCATTGTCTGATTATCCAGTTGCGAGAAAATACGATCAGCGGCGTCCGCTAATTGATCGATCGAGGTGTTTTCGGACATTGGCGCCAAAATTTGGGTAATGGTGGTGGGGAGACGGTCCAGCCACAAGGATTTAATATAGAGTCAGCCATGGTATTTTTTGCCGAGTCGGCTTTTCATATAACGAAGGAGTTGGGAGGAGTCCTGCCATCGCAAGTTAGGTTGCTAAATAGTTCCCGGATTAATGATTCCTCCGTACGGCCCATTCTCCTTAAGATCGCTTCTTTTAACCGGGCGTAGGGTTCTACTTCAGGAACGGCTTCTGGAAGTCTGAGACCTCATCAACAATGGCGGGTGGCAAAACTGCCACCACGTTCTGCACTTAGTCTTTTTGGTCAGTAATCCTTCTGACTGTAAAGATAGCTTCCATTTGCAGGAACCAGTTCTTTATATTCCCTTCATGAAAAGGGGGAAAAGGAGCGACGGCGGCGGACATGTTCGCCGACTCTTCAGAGTCCTTAGACGTCATTCTGGCTATCGAATTTATGCACGTTTATATTTCAGCTTGCTCAGAAATATGTTGGCAAGGTTGCAAAATTATTACGTGTTCGTATCACGTCGGGGTCACCAATCTTGTTGCGGGCCCGGTAGGGTGCAGTGCTGGTTTATTACTAAGTGGCCTTGTGCCAGACACCACACTAAACTACCGAGTCTACAAGCAAAGTAAAAAGATAAAATGTGCGTGAATGAACAACGAAGAAATGTGGTTAATCCACACGTGCATAAAATAAAATATATTAAGATAGCCGACACAGAATGACAGAACAAGACTGGATTCCAACAAGAGTAATTTTTATTAAATGCAGGAAAACAAGTAAATTGTCCCGTAGTAGGGGTCAATGAAAAGTTCCGCGCCAAAAGTAGAAGCAAGATGGCTAAAGGCGGGAAGGTTCTTGAAGAAGAAGGAGAATACCAGATAAGTCAATGTACAAGATAATATTCATACAAGGAAAAATACTCACTGCGAGTTTTTTGGTAATGTGAGTGAATGTTATTGTTATGTACATATTTTTTTTCTTTTTTTGTACTGGTTCAAAACAGATTTCTGACGAGACCCAAAGTGGACGACGGATTGTTATTTTGTATGTTCTGCATCGTCTCGGAGTAGAACTTTGAATGACGAGTCTCAAAGGGCCGAGGAATTAATATTTTGGATGTTTTGCATCATCTCGGAGGAGGACTTTGAATGACGAGCCAAAAGGGACGAAGGATTAATCATTTGGTATATGCATCGTCTTATAAAAGGGTTTTTGAATGACGATCCAAAAAGGGACGCAGAATTAATATTTGGTGTTGGCATCGTAAGATATCCTTCGTCAGTCAACCTTGCATATTGACATGGCTAAAAATGAGTCTGCTTAGGTCCGAATCTGGATCACAACTGAACTTTTCTGAAACAACAGTTTGTCGTTGACGTCACAAATTTTTCGCGGGAAGATTTCAAAAATCTAATTTGCATAACAGGTCGCTTGGTTGGTGACCAAAACAGTTACTACTGTATTAGACCGAACGAGGGAGAAAGGGGGTGTCAAACGCGCGCGCGCCCCACGAGTGTGAAAGAAAGGGAGGAAACTCGCGCGCGCGTAAAATGTCGTAGATGGAATAATACATTATTCCACAAGATTACAAACCGAAACGTGAGGCCCTTTGAATGGATTTTTATGATTCGTTCTATATTTGAACTAAATGTATTTTGTAATAGATGTAGTACTTTAAATAGACAAAAGATTTAGATTTTAAATTATATCAATTTGCTGTCCAGGAAGCGTCGGACATCGAACTATTATTGCTAATAGTATTAGTGTGGGTAAGTATGCAACGGTTATCAACGGACGTTTCGTCAATGGGCTAAACTGAAATTATTAATAGATTGGTGTATCAAAGTGAATCTTAACATCTCACAAACAAATAGGGTGTGCCTTGAGTATCCTGAAAAGCAAGAATTAATAAGAACATTATCATCATAATAAGAATATAATCATCACATCAGAGGGAAATGTAGAACTGCTGCACTGAAATTACTACTCCGGTGAAAAGCAGATTATACTCCAGACATAGATAAATCGATTGAAAGGAATCAGTGGTGTTGATTTACTGCAAGCAGAATTTCTTTCTTTGACTACATAAGCTAACAGATTAAAAATAAACAACACCAGTCGCATCAGATTGATAAAAATCGAAATATTGAAAAAAGAAATTATTGATAAATTTGGAACTTTTCAAAAGAAGCAAAGAAGAAGCATAAAATCATTACCGTGATCAAATTTTACCAACAATCCAACTATGTTGCACAATGTTTCCTTCATTTTTTACAAGTAAAAGAAAATTCAAAGACTATTTCGGAAGCCTTCTATAATGTATGTGTAAACTAGTATGTATACACTGGAATTAATCTGGGTTGAGCTGTTTTTATCATCTGGCAATAAAATAGATCTACACCATCTCGCCTCCTTTTCCATCTGAAGTACACGTTAATCTTTTAGTATTTTTGACGTTATAATCTGATCAAACATCACATCACTGCATTTACATTTCAGTTTTCGAACCTGACAACTGCGTTATTCAGAACTGACTGCAATGTTTCGAAATACAAGAGGAAAACAGCATTTTTCATTTGGCATTCCAAATTTCTGATGGAAATTTAATAAAGTCTGATTGTATCCTAAAGTACTGCTGCAGCATCATTACTGGGAATGATGTTTCAACTTTTAAACCATGATTGATTCACACACACACATACATACATACATACGTACATACATACATATATATATATATATATATATATATATATATATATATATATATATGTTTTTTTTCAACTTCCTATTTTACTTCTTCCAAGCTTAAAACAATGTTTCCACACAGTACATTTTTGTGAGATTTTGCCGCAACGTGACGAGTCCATCTTACAAACACCATTTCTGGCTTATTCTATTGACATATGTCTCCTTGACATAGCAATTATTTTGACGCGTTAAATGAAGAACTTTTATCAGCTTATTAAATAGAATCACATGAAAATTATGAACAGATAAACAAAAAAGTGGATTTGATTAAACCAGAAACTAAATGTGATTAGACAAAATGTAGCATACTTTAATTCGTTTATCGATGTCCAAATTTCAACATTCAGCAAAGAATGTTGCAAAAAATGGCTGGAGAAAAATTTTCGAATCTCAAAATATCAGAAGACGAAACAATAGACAAATTTCGATAACTAAATATTGCAATGTGATTTTGAAGTAAATTAATAAACTAAAGTTTCCAGTCACTATGGAATATCTCGTTCTCCTGAATAACAATGGCTACTCGAGGGGATAATACACCAAATTAATTCAGATACGTTCTAGAACGCAGTTTTATTTGTTGGTTATGTTTGCAAAGGAATTTAATGTCACATAAATGTTCATTGGGTTACATACAGTCAAAACGCTAGCGCCATTACAGTGCCAAGAAATCAGTTGAGTGTTTCTGGAAGCAATTTCTTATCAACCGGGCTTAATTTGGTATGAATTTATCTTGATAGAACACACCACAAAACCTTGGAAATATAGCGATGTAAAAGTAGTTCAAGTTATCAAAAGATATTTAATGGTCCTTTTGATCTCCAATAGAAAACATTCCACACCATTAAAGATCACCAACTTGATAAGCTGATTCTAGAGATTCACTCTCTTAAAATTTTAATGATATTTACAATTGCAACTATTTTACCGAAAGAACGTTATGGTGGCAAGATGGTTTCATATATTCAGTCTCTTACATATATGAATTCAACTATTTCACCAAAAGATCGGCTGATTTGATTGTTTAATGGTATTTTTTTTTGGGGGGGGGGGGGTTGCAAAGTGCAGTAATTAATGTTATAGTGCCAAAAATCCAACGTTATTGGATGAAAACTATGCAATCACATGTTTTTCAGCATACGCTCTATAATTTACCCCTTCGTTCGCTAGTTACCTTCCTTTTCGATCCACTAGCGTCAGATTTCTGTTACAATATTTTTAGTGGTCATATCTATCCATGGGTGCCCTTTTTCCCCACCAGAAATTTCCACCTTTTCAATTTCCACTTTTTCAATTTCCACTTTGAAGTTAAAGTTATACACATATAAAAAATACGTATACGTTTCAACTTAAATTAAAAAAATATTTTATATTTATGGGTTATGAAAAACAAAATCTACGTCTGTTTTTAATCTATTATAATATTCACATGTTCACGTGTATTGTTTTACAGGTGACTGTTTATTTGAGAAAAATTTTAACGCTTTTAATGACGCGAGATTGAATAAGAAATACTAATAATTGTCTTAATACAATTTTAAATCAGTTTAAACCTGAAGTTTTATCTACGTATTTTATCTTCAACTGTAAAAAACCTTAATTTTTTTCACAGATCGTCATACTAATTTTCAAAATCAATGATTGTGTTTCGAATAACCATTTACCAAACCTTCTTGAAATATTACAAAACTTCGCAGAACGTTTTTCGTTTATGTCACTAAGTAAAAGTTAAATTATCACTGATAATGACATGTTAATTCGGAAAGAGAGGAAGATGTGTGAGTTGACAGAAGAATGGCGAAATGGAGATGGCAGAAGCAAGAAATTACAGCAAGAACTATCAATAAGATGATACTTTTTAATATTAGCATTCTAGATTTGTCTATATAGCATCCTAAAAAAAGCAAATTCCTTAGAGTTTATATATTTAATTGCAATAAAACTATGCGCTCGCTTTATCGATCTGAATTTGTTCTTTCAGAAAATTTTAATAACATTTAGAATTGTGATGGCATGCTTATTTTCCCAGTTTTTCTAAAAGTAGATTTATTAATATAAATGGAGTCATTTACGATATCCTTAAAATAAGTAGATTTATTAATATAAATGGAGTCATTTACGATATCCTTAAAATAAGTAGATTTATTAATATAAATGGAGTCATTTACGATATCCTTAAAATAAGTTGACAGAAATTGTTAATATATTTTCATTTGAGTAGAAATGTGTTAA